GCCCAGAACTGGACACAATACTCCAGATGTGGCCTCACCAGGGCTGAGTAGAGGGGCAGGATCACCTCCCTCGACCTGCTGGAGATGCTCTTCTTAATGCACCCCAGGATCCCATTGGCCTTCTTGATTACGAGGGCACACTGCTGCCTCATGGTCAACTTGTCGTCCACCATGACACCCAGGTCTTTCTCTGCAGAGCTGGTGATGAATAGCATTTAGTCACATAAAGAACAAAATGCAGAAGCACTCTTTTTCTTCCGTTTACATTTTTAGGTCTTCATGATTTAATGTCATCATAGATTAAGATCATCATAGATTGAGAGAATTTAAGTCATTAATATTTGTGAGAGAGTCTTGTGACCAGAACTTGTAGGAGAAGGGGAGTAAATCATTGATTAGGGAGAAACGAGGTGCTAACATTCAGGCATGGGATTGTTTAACACATTAATGCAGTTTATTGATTAACAAATGAATGCCAGATTGTTAAATTTAATGCAGTTTTACTGCCCAGCAGGTGTGGTTCAGATTACACATGGTAAACATGATGTCTGAGCCTTGCCTCTGAAGCACAAGTGAGAGTTTAACCACACTGTGAAAGGGCTCATTAATCCCAGCTCGGCTCTTTCTGCCCTTCCCTCTTACAGATGAAGCGAAAAGCGGCTTTCCTCTCCCTTTCCCATCCTATGCAAAGAAGCTCTTGGTATCGTTGTGCAAAGAGGTCCCCTTCCAGGTGAAGTGTATATCCTGCTACCAGGTACTGCGCTCACACATGGAATTAACAGCTCATTTCAGGTTTGTGAGAGGCAATGTCTTCAAGCTAGGAACACCCATAGGTAGATAGTGATAGATATGTGCCCATGGGGGGACTGCCAGGGGAAGCTATACCCAAACAACCCCTTCTCCATGTGTTTGCTTTTCCACATGATCTACTGGAGAATGCTGATCAATGTCCATATTATTTTTGTTACTTTTTTTTAACAGAACAACAGAACTTTATTGGTCTCTATACCAGTATGTTTCAGTTGTCAGTGTTTAATTTCTAAAGCATACTTAGTGATCAATGTAAACATCCATCTCGGGGTAATTTTGGAACTACCCCTACTACTAGTTTTGGAAATTGGCACCTTACTCTTTATGGAGTGCAGAGACTTAGGCAGTAGTTAGGCATTGTATATTTTTGTTGAAAAGTTAATAGGCCAGGTAAAGTATCCAGGGGGCACTATTTCCACACCCCAATTGCAGTAGCTACTAGGGAATATTTCAAAGTACCTCTGAAAATCTTCAAGAGTTCCAAGTTATGATATAAACTTTTTTTTCCTCCAATCCTATCTAGAACACAGTGTCGTAATTCTGGCCCCATGGCCCTGTCAAAGAAGAGCATCTCCCAAGTTGCAGAAATATTTAAAACAAAAGGTCACTGTGAGAAATGTGATAGACTCTTTGCTGATGAGGATCAGATCATTCAGCATAAGCAAAGCACTCAACATAAAATTAAAGTTATTTCTACAATGGAAGAGTCCATCTTGACATTCTGTCATATCAGTGAAAAAAATAAAAATCCGTCTCATTTGTGTCATATCGTGGATCGCTCCAGACCACTGCTTAAGAGACCTTTGAATTCGAAGGACTCCAGCAGTGAAAATGGATCTACTCCTTCGAAAAGGAAAAGTGATTTAAAAGGGAAAAATGAAGGTCATGTAGTAAACCAAAGTCAAGGTAGCAAAGTGAAAGCCTGGTTTTGTGAATGCCTTCAGAAGTTTCTTACAGAAGACTCAGTCGAAAAGCACATTTTAGCAGCGAACAGGATCTGTCACAAGTGTGCTGTTTGCGGAAAGCTTGCGGAAACCTCGAGCATTATCCGCCTGCACATGAGCCGGTTCCATGGGGGAGCACACCTGACTAACTTCCTTTTCTGGTGCAGAGCATGTGCTGTAGATCTCCTCAGAGAAGAGGATATTATGGGGCACGTGACTGAATTTCACGGTGGACATAGTTACTATTATGAGCAGGAGGCTCTAGAAGAGGAGCCTGTGCCCTCTGCTTCTGGCACAGCATGCAGCTCCTCGATGGAAATGCAATATTATGTTGCTAGTCCTGTGGAACTGTCCCCTGAAAGAAGCCCTTTGCTGGGAAAATGGCAGTGCCACATGTGTGAGGAGATGTTTGACTCCGAGGACAGCGTTAAACAGCACTGCCTGTCTTTAGAAAGCCATGCGTTTCACAGGTACTGCTGTGGCCTGTGCAAAAACCACTTTCGGAAAATGGAAACGCTGCAGCGGCACTGCCAAGAGCATCATAACCATGAGACAGACATTAAATACTTCTGTGGCCTCTGTGGCGATCTCTTTTTTGACATGGAGGAAGAATTTCTAGCTCATTATACAGAGCTTCATAGCACGGACTATGCGTTTGTACCTGAGCAAGTGGAAGTATCAATAAAAAAGGAAGATGACTTCCTCCCAGTTGAGAAAGGAGACTACTTAACCTGTGGTTGCCGGGCAAATTATGTCTCCCGACTAAACAGAAGGAATGATTATGTGAATTGTCAGAAGGTCATGTTGCAAAATGGAAGTTTATGGTTTCGCTGCTGCTTCTGTTCTGCAACTGCGCAGAATTTTGATGATTTGAACAGCCATCTCAGTAGCCACCCTTCTGTGAAACGCACTGGTGAGATGTACGTTGTCAGATGTGCTGCGTGCAACAAAAACTTCCATGATCTCGCAAGCGCCCATCAGCACTATCACATGAAGCACTGCTTCCTGCAGAAGCCGGATTTGTCCAACCTTGCGGCAGAACCAGAAAATACGTTGTTCAAGTTCACTGCTAGTGGGGCATGTGTGGACAAGAAACCTGACAAAGCCAAGTTTGCAGCACATCCAGCCAGGGCTCAAGAAGGATTGCAGTCTCCTCTTCTGTGGGGACCAAAACATGGAAAGAAAGAAAAAAAAGAAAACTTGGCACACATGGAAGAATCTGGTGAAGGTTTGTAGATCTTTTTACGTTAGAAAAATCTTACTGTCTTAATACGCTCTGTTCAAATGTGAGTGCAAGTAGGTAACATACCGTTTCCCTGAACCTGGTCTGTTCGATGTACATTGTTTCTCAGAGTTGCCGTTTGAATTCTCAGTATTTAGTTTTCCAGAACTTGAATTCAGCACTTTATCTTTACATGTCTTACGCATTAAGTCTTCCAAAAACAAGAAGGAGAGTTCAGAGCCTTGGGACCGAAACACGTAAATCCCAAAAGACAAGACAGCATAATTTGGGATTAAAGTGTGATTATGGATTTAGGATTAAAGGAGAGCAATCAAGGATCTCAAAGAAGTTGAACTCCTACAAATGCCCAAGCGCTCTATAACACACACATGTTCAAGGGAAACTTCCTTTTTATGTGTTTAGCTTCCTCCTCTAAGAGGAAGTACCCTAAATGTTCAAAAGTGGAGGGCTTTTTAATTATTCGTGGTGTCTAAAGGCAGCTTTTTGGGTAAAAGCTGTTGACACTTTTGTTCATTCTACAGCAAAATGTTTCTAAACATTTTACCTGCCTTTATGTGTGCAAGATGTTAAATGCTGTAGGCACTGGCCATGATAGAAAGTGCACAGTGGAAAGGTGAATGGGCTGGTAAAGGTCCTGGTGCAGGGCAAGAGCTGTCTGTGCCTACCATGAAACGCCATCCATCTCCACTAAATCAGCAGATCGTGCTGTGTCTTCTGCCTGTTTTTTGCCCTACTAAATGCTGTGTCAGTTGGCTTAAAACCAGTACTGGAACAGTGCTGTCACTAAATTGGATCACATTTAGCACGTACAGCAGCTAAATATGTGGAATTTTAAAAGTATATCTGAGTTGATGTTCATAGGTTGACCCAGAAAGTAAGACAAACTTAAAATGCCTCTTTTTTTTTCCCCCATTGAAGACCGTGAACTTCCTGATTTTGACTACCTGAGTACCATGACTCATATTGTGTTGGTGGATCTAGACAACTGGGGAAGCCTATTCACACAGCTGCCAGCTAACCTTAACCAGGGAACCTTTATCTGGGGCTTTCAAGGTAAGCAACAGTTGAAGGAGATAAGAGTTTGAAAAGACTAACAAGTCCACCCAAATACTTGAGCAGAGATTCTTTGGATCTGAGAGAATATTGAAAAGGAGCAATCAGCCCGTAGGGCCCCTTAAGTCACGAAGCCACAGGTGCTATGCAACAGAAGTGGCTTTGAACTTCTCAAATTCAGTCTTAAGCTCTTCTGTCCTTATTATGTTTCCTAGAATATTGTTCCAAAATTGTTTAAGCAGTTTAGGGGGTGTTTTCTGCTACTAAACTTACTTAGGCTTTACCATGTTAGTTTTTTGTAGTTGCTAGGAAACCTGTAATATTTGGAGATTATTTTCTTTATAGCTAGTTTCCAAATGCCAGGTTGCCATCCTAATGTTCTTAGTCACAAAGACTTGATTCTATCTCTTTGTACTTGTGCCATTTCTGACTTGCCTTTGAGAATGCCCTTGGTCATGCTTTACTATGAATTAGTTTGGCTCACATCTGGAACATATGACGGATGGAATTCACCTTTTTAAGGTTTTCTAAGAAAATTTCTCAAGAAGTTCCCTAGTAGCATCCCATTAACTTGATACTTTGCATTACGTGGCTATTCTGACGTCAGTCACTACTGTGCCTCACACTTTTGCTACCGTCTGCCTTGATTTCCCTTGTAGTACATCGAATATGTCAGTAACGTCCCAATAAAAAACAGCTTCCAGAGATCTATTGCCTGGAACCTGCGTCATCACACCAAGCCAACTTATAAAATTGTCTGGCATGCTTTATCTTTAGAAAACCTCATTCACTTACACCCTCTTTTTTACTTAATGTTCTTTATTGCCTCTTTTTTCCAAGCATGTACTGAAAGTTTATAAGCTGCTGAGGTCAGACAGAAAGGCTTGTTGATGCCTGAATCACTTTTTTCTCTTCTTGGAGCTAGGCATTTCATTTAGCTGATGAGGACAGGGCAGGATTTGTATGTGCATTTATTAACATGAGCTTTTCAAACAGCCAGCCAGGCATACAGCAGGCCCTGTGGTTTAATGTCTGGTTGTTCAGAAATTTTGAACAATTCCTGAACTTCCTGAAAATCCTGGGGTGGGATTTTCTGGTCTTTTCAGTTAAAGCTCCCCCCTCTGTCTCTGCACTCCTTGATTTATAACAATATTGTGATTTTGGTTTGTTTTTGTTGGCTACTTTAATTACCCATTTGCTGAAGGCTAGTTGATTACTGTTATGCAAGCCAGCTGGTCGAGGAACAATCTAAAGGCCAAAGCTAATCTGAGTTTTATAGAGTATTCTTTAGTAAATTATTTTTTCATAGTTATGTCAAACTTTGTCCACTTGAATTCAGACATTTGTTTTCGATCATCCTTTGTTTGTCCTTCTGTTTAATTTAGCCAAAACCAGTTTGTCATTATTTGACTCAAGATTGCAGTAGCAGAAGAGCTTGTCGGAGGAAACAAACTTAATATGCTCTGTTTTGATTTGGTTAGGAAATACGGGTTGAACCCAGGAGTGTCTGAATTGCATTATCAAAATGCTTGTCTACTGCTCATAAACGCAGTGTTATGTAAGGAACCCCTATTAGAGATGCTGGGGCTCCAAAGTGCTTCTGGTTTCAGTCATTCCAGTGTCCTCTACCTGCTTATGGTCCAGCTCCACCATAGTAAATACAGCTCCCTCATTTTCAGCTGTCATGGTCAAGTGTATGTTATACATGAAACAAAACATATGTAACCAAAACCCAGGCTTGGCAATCACTCTCAAATACTAGTGACAGCCTCAGTCACAATGGAGAGGACAAAAGGCCATTTTTCTCATGGGCAGATACCCCTAAATCTTTTCTGCGCGTCATATTACTAAAACTTTGAACTTTCTAATCATTTTTGATACCTTCTAGTCATTAGAACAGAAACAAAAAAAACAAAAAAAAACAAAAAAACAAAAAAGCAAAAAAAAAAAAAGAGAGAGAGAATTCTGTTGCAGATTCCTTGGGCTGCCACTTCTTTGTCAGCTCAAGAGGAAAATGCCTACAGTCGTCCATAGCGTGTTTGCGTGAGAGTCTTAGCATTGCACGTCCTCGTGTGAAGTGTAACCACGTTCTCTTCTTGCCTTTTCCTCTCCTGGCAGGCACAGCCCCATTCTTCCCTGACCCGTTGTCCCACCCCAGACCTGCTACTTCCTCATGACTGGGAATGTTGTGAAGTTCCTGTTTGTTCCTTTCAAGCTGTCCTGCAGTTTCTTCCATTTGTTTCTTTCTTTCATACTGTTCTAGTAACCCTGCTGCTTCCTCTGTTTTTCCCCTCTCTACTTGAGATTTGCTGCCCTTTTCCTTTCTTTTGTTACCTGTTTCAACCTGTTTTTTCTTTTAATCCTCTACCAAACTTTACTCAGCTCTTCTCCATTATCCAGTGCCTCTGGATAATACCGTCAGTATCCCTCTGCCAGTAGCTACATGTTTTTATGGGTTCATCTCTTCATGGGTTTCAGGACACTGCAGTCAAGAAAGAGAGCCTTAGAGCCTTGTCTTGCTTATTGTTCATTGCATCCAGGACTTTACTGGGGCTCTAGCATTTGTTTTCAGTTGCCACCTAAGTTCTTGGATTTTCTCTTTAAAAGTGTTCCGGCTTGACATGTCAGACATATAAAGGTTTTGTTGCAAATTGTAAAGGTTTTGCTGGAAATTCTCTGGCACTAGCATGGGATTCCCTGCGAGGCCCTTTCTCAGGGTTCCTCTGTTTCTGCACGTCAACCATTAACCTTTTCTCGTCTTTGTGCTCAGATGAGTTGCCTTTCAAATGGAAAGGATACATGCTTATGTAAAAACACATGGGATTTCTAGGAAATGACTCTTTCAGGATTAGAAGAAAAGTCCTTACTAGTTTGAATGAAAGGCTTTCTGTATGATCAGGTAAAATTTAACCCATGTAGTTACTTTTTCTTTTTTTAATCTGAAAATAAGAGATTTGAGGTTTTGTGTAAGTGTTTGTTTTCATTTTTACAATTATTAAAATAAATTTGTCTTAATAGGCCCGACTTACTTTTGCTTTTGATTTCTTGAACTCTTAATTCCCGGTGACACTGCTATGTATTTCTTTTTTCTTTGACTGTGCAGGAGGATATAGCAACTGGAAGCCTCCAGTGCAGTGCAAAATCTATAATTATCTTAAGAAGATTGGATGTTTCTTCCTTCACCCACGCTGTGGCACCCGAAGAGAAGCAGCAGACTTTGCCCTCTGCGTTCACGTACGTTAGCACAGGCTTTCTTCACTGCTGTGGTTCTGCACCTAGAAAAACTAAGGTCTGCTAATGATCACTAGTTGCAAGTGAGATTCTTAGGCTTTCTACACATGACTTCCACTGAAAAGAATGACAAAGCTGCACTCAAGAAGTATTTCTGCTACTAAGAGTGGGTTTGAAACCTGCTCCTTGTGCCTTGAATATCCAGAGGTTCTTTACAAACCTCAACTGTACTGTGATTCTCTGATCATACTTTTCTCTTTGTTCTTATGATTGAGCTTTGGATTGCTCAAAGACGTTGTATCATAGATTAAATTGCTAAGTATATTAAATGTAGGTATCATCCTTCCTTTTCCTAAACATGTGTCCTTTTTCTCCACACAGGCTGGTCGTCTGGATGAGCACCTGCCCAAACAAATTCCTTTCACTGTACTTTCTGGAGACAAAAGCTTTCTAGAACTGGAAGCTCAGTTTAAAATGACACAGCGTTCAGCTCGCATCCTAAATCCTCATCACATTGAAGGAGACATGATGTGTGCCTTGCTAAACAGCATTTCAGATACCACAAAAGGTAGTATCTACACAAAACATTAACTAAACATTAAGCACAGTCTTTCCAATAAACCAGTAGTCTTTCCAATAAAAGAACAGAATACTCATGCTGACAAGAGTCTAATGGTTATCTCTGGTGCTTCTTTAAGATGCTCAATTTTCAATTGTGTATTGATCAGAGAATCAATTTTCTCATGGCCCATTTTGAAGCAGGACTTAATTATGCATTTCTGGCATGCTTATGGCAAACTCTGTCTTCCTGATATCCTTTCTTATAGAGAAGACAAATTATTTTATTTCAGTCTGTAAATTCCTTTCTGGTTAAAGAAAAGCTCTTTAGAGCACTCTAGTGCACGTCTTGGTTAATTCACCCCCAAATCTTTGCTTTATTTGGTCTGGGTCTGAAACAAATGTGAGAATGAGGTTCTTGAGAGAGAGTCTGCTAGAGCCAGTGCTGTTTCAAAAAAATCTCTCTGTCTATTTTTAATTCTGATTGTCCTCTGGGCGACTACCAGTCATCTGATATTTGTTTTTCACTGTTTCATGACTTGCATGTCCATATGGAGAAAGAATATCAATGAAAGCCTTCAGGCTCTCTAGAATCCATATTCTAAAGTGACTGCACTTTCAAAATACAAAATAGAGATTTGATGCAGAATAATCAAAAGAAATTTAATCCAGTTCATTTCCAAGGAGCAAAGGATATTGGAAACAGAGTTGAGCTTAAATACTTTGAGTGTTTCAAAATACCTTTAAATACAGTTTTTCTGGAAAACCTGCCATTTCTCTACAGGCTGCTGCTGGTCCTTGCTTCTGTATTGACTTTGAGGGCTTGCAAATTGAGCCTGTTACAGAAGTCATTCCTGAATTAGCCCTAAGCTGCTTCCAGGGAAGGGAGGCTCTGAGTGTTGATGCAGGCTTGTGAGAATGACAGTGTGCTGCTGCTATTCTGTCAGGAAGATTATAGTGGAGTGCTAGCACCGAGTGGTGAATTGACATAAATTGGTTAACAGAAACACAGGATAAAGAATTGCCTTCCCTGAAAAAGTGATGTGCGGTGAGCTGGGATAAAGTCCTTCGTGTTTTCTGCTGCTTCAGACATTTCCTGGTCTCAATTGGTTAGCTGAATTATGGGGATGTAATTCCTTGCCAGAAGCATACCAAAATTCCTGATTTGAAAGCATTTTTTAAATGTAATTAGAACAGAATTAGAGCTAGAACTGTTGAAGTGGAAAGTTGCTTTTGTTTTGGGAGCTTTGCATGGTTTTACGGAAAATTGGTAGGACTGGCAGACTTCTAGACAGCAGAGCTTGGTTAGTTTACATTCACGAACAAGACTGTCTTCTATAGGGTGTTGTTAAGGGGGTGTGACTTAAGCTGCGAGCGTAGGAAGAGGGAAGTGACTGTTCTACTCGAGTGCTGTAGTTCCCTGTTGATTAGTTTTGCTTTATTCACTTGGGTATCCTGGCTAACAGGAAATTAATTTGATGTAACCGTTTTTCTGTGTATATATTATACTTGTGTATTTATATTGGTCTTGCGTTCATCACTTCCTAATCTAACCCTTTCTTTCAGCATCCTTTAGTATGCTAATACTTTTTTTGCTGTTATGGTAATGGGCACAACTAGGAAACACCCCAGGCTTTAGCCTTTTAACTTGATGTCTCAATGATCATTGTGCTTCCACTTAAATTTCACGCAAGGTTGTGATCAAAACAAATATATTTTGAGCACAAAAGTACCAGGATCATGCACGTATCCTTTGCCACTCATGGTTTCCAGGCAAGTTCAAAATAGTGATGTTGAACCTTCCTCAGTTCCTTCTCCTGTCCAAGTCAGCAGCATGGAACCAGGTAGTAAAAATTGTCTTCTTGTATTAGCACAAGACTTAAAATAATAATTTTTGGTACCAGGCCTGTGTTTTGTGCTGTGGGATGACACCATTACAAAGGGTCTATGAAGGTCTTTTTGAAAAGGTGTAATTGCCCCAAAATACACACCTAACTGTGTGGATCACTAGCACCTGTAAGCGTTTGCGAGTCCTAGTGTAGCAATGAGATGGCAAGTCAGGAAGCTCTAGGCTGGCATAACCTGTTGTCCTGTTACGGAGATGCAGCTGAATCTAAGGACACCCAAGTTCCAGAGCAAACAAATCTTGTTTTTGTCTCTTTTAAGCCTGCAGGCTGTTGGTTCTGATGGGAGAGGAAGTGAGAAATCAGTTATCACAGATAGTTGTGTTGAAAACATAGGATGGTTGTTGGTGTTGGAAGAACTTCAAAATGAAGAAGCTATTTCCCTAAATCATCTCCACAGATTACTTATCAGTAGCTCCGAAGTAGCCGGGCTCTGTTTGAACTGCAGCAGTCTCTGCCTGTGGCACCATGTGAACCCTCTGGCCAATTCAGTAGAACTGCTCCTGGACCTGGGCACCATGCAGTCATTTAAACAAAACAAATCTTGCAGGGGGGATCAGCTCTGTCTCAGGAGACCACTGGTTGTTCTAGATGTGTGAATTTCCTGAGGAAATGCGTGTTCTAGATGCATGAATTTTCATGAGGAAAGCAGTAGGGAAGGCATTTATTCCTACTTGCGTTCTTCTGCTGCTGAATCTGAGGTCTTAAACCCCCCAAAATTTCGTACCTATTTTCTTTAATGCTGTAGGGAGGGCTCATGGTGGGAGATTCAAGTATATTAATAAAATGGCCTGAGAAGATGGAACAGAAGAGTTTTCCATGTCTCCCTTTGTTTCCTTTGCAAATACAGGAGATTCAGAGCATACTTGTTATGTATATCTTGACACTTGATGTCTAGCTATCCTCCTCCCACTGCAGCTCACACTTCTAACGATTCCTGTTTGATGTGATGGTGCTGAGGACAAGTCTCATGCTGGGCTCGGGGGTTGTCATACCCCCCTGACACCAATATGAGTGCCAGACCTGCTGGCTTCACAGAAGTGAGTTTTTTGAGTTGAGGCTTTAACTTATATTATTCACAGAGTCATCACATGAGATTTCTAGTTAGCCAAGCTCTTAGATATAAACAGATTTTTTTAATATATATTAAAAAGGATCACATGTTTTAGAATATCCCCTCCTCTTTCAGGGGTGAGGCTGCTTCAGGAGACTGTAAAAATCAGTCACTTGCAAGTTGGTGCCTCGCATGGGCTCTTAGATGGCCCGTGCTCCTCTTGCACTCACCCATAAGGTTCATTTCCTCTGTGTGGGAAGAGGCAGGCTGAGAACTCTGCACCATCTACTACTCCTGTCTACGGTGTGAGGCACCACTGAATTTATCTTCCAACAAATGATACTTGGAAGATCAGTATTCTGCTTCCCTCTAACAAGTGCAGCCAAGTTTCTAAGCTCCCACTATCCTCAAGAGCCTACGCATACAGAGAGCCTTTCATACGGAAAACAGAGGAATCTGAGAAGAACCAAGAGCTGTTTTACATAAAAAGATGAGCAGAATTGCCTATATTTTCATTTGCAGGCGTAGTGGTATGGCATGGATGACCCCAATCCCTGTGCTCTCAGATCTTTGGTTGCTGACAGGCATCGGACTCCAATGGACTAAAGAGCTTGCAGCTCCTGCTGTCCAAACAGGCAGAGCTGGAAGGGTGCAAGCGTTGGTAACGCGCTGTGTCCTGGCTGCTCGCTGGGGGAATGTGATCCTGCTACTCCTTGCATTACGCGGCTATTGCAGTGGCTGCAGCAGGTCGCTATAGGGAGCCATGAGAAGGTCACTGTCGAGTTGCAACCTCATGTTTTGCTGCCGCAGAAAGTTGTCATTAGCTGTGGTGTGAGTGCCATCTGCTGTGGGGGCATTTCATACTTGTACATGTGCCTCTAGGGGGAAGACAGGGTTTTGATGTGTGAGACTGGGAGTCTGCGGAGGACTTTAGCCAAGCGGATGAACTGGGAAGTCCCCACCACCAGATCAGAGAAACACACCTAAAGGGTTTAAGCTAACCTGGATGGAAGTTCTGAGAGAGATAAAGGCTCTGTGGAAGCCTGAGTGACCATCATGGTACTGACAACAGCTCTCACAAGATGCCATGGGAGTAGGAGGGAAGACGGAAAGCCTCGTTTTAGTCATACTACACTTGAATGGACATCCTTGGCGAGATGCCCAGGGTGAAGCTGGAGGAACGGTGGAAGAGAGGTCTTGTGTGGTTGTGAGCTCTCAGCAGCGGGTGGCTGTCCTTGCCATTGCAGGTGAAGTCACGTAATGAGGAAACTGATATCACAGCAGTAAGTAGTGCAACAAAAAAAAAAGGAGGATTCTCTAAGCACATATTGAAAAAAAGATTTTTTTTAAAAAAAATGGATTAAGCAAGCCAGAGAGGCATATTTTAAAAGTAGCATGATGGCATGTGCTGAATGTGATTGAGAAATCAAGGAAAATAAGGACAGAGTACTGATCCTGAGCTCTAGGCAAAGGGGTCACTAGCATTCTGAATGAAACAACTGTCACCGTATTTTTGGAGTAGAAAAGCTCTGTAAAACTTGAGACATCAACAGTGGGGCAGCAACGAGGGAGACGGGGAGCGAAGCACAGTACTGCTGTCCTGCACTGGGCCGGGAAACAAGCCAGGGAGGCTGAGAGCAAGTGCAGAGTGGTGCAGGAGAGAGCACGACGAGCACAGGGGATGCGGCTGCAGGATGTGAAGAACCGTCAGGAGGTGGCAGAAGCTTTTAGCAGAGGAGGAGGACGACGAAGGCAGGAGGAAGGAAACCAAACAGCAAAAACTGTGAAGGGGATGATGGCACCTAAGGAGGCTGCAGGAGCAGGGGCGCAGCTGTAGCCTGAGGTAATGTGGGCTGCGAATCTAAACGAAAGCTGGGGCTCTTTGGTGTCCAGGACAGGGGGTGGCACCTGCAGTCTGCGCAAGTTCACTGGTCCCTTCCCTGAAACAGGGACTCTCGAAATGGCACTGGATGCATCTCTCCAGGAAAAATAGCATATTCACGCCCATCTGTAAGTTAAACCTTCCTGATCTTTGAACTCTATACTTGGCATAATTTGCCTCGCTCTTTTACATTTTTTTCTGATTTTGTTTGTTTTGATTTTTTTTTTTTCTCCAGAAGAATTTGGCAGTGTATGAGGACTACAATGAGACCGTAACATCTCTGAGAGAAGAGGTTCAGTCAGAGCTTCTCAGCTATTGTGTACTTCATAAAGTGTGCTGGAGAAAAGGCCATAACTTGTGGTTTCTTGGACAAAAAAAAAAACTCTCCTTTTTCTCCTTTGCTGTCTAACCCCAGAGGAGTTGGGAGCTGCAGAGTTTGCTCAACATTTGCTCAACATTTAAAACAGGGAGCTGCAGAGTTTGCTCAACATTTAAAATAAGAGGAACCAGACATACCCGATTTCTGCAAGTTACATCTCATTTACTCTTCATCTTCAGAAGATGCCAGCAGTGCTAGGGGTATATTTGCATGGGGTGAAGAGTATTAGGTTGCAGGATCTCTTTGAGAGCGAATTCACTCGCAGGATATAGGCACAGCACCAGCACTATAGGTGAAGCACCTGTCCAAAGAGCAGGTCCCCTGTGGTTTAAAATCCATCTGTTTGATCTTCCTTCTCTGTCTGATGCCCAAGTTCTGCACCATAGTTCTTGCTGTTTCCAACCCCTAAAGAAAATGCACTTTTTAACCTTATTTGTTGAAATATTTCTCCATAGGTTGTTTATGGCCAGGCTAATTCCTGGTTGTTTCAATCTTATTCCTGCTTGCCATAAAACTACGGGAACATTTTAAAACTCTTTGGTGGTGGTGTTTGCCCCTGACGTGCCTGCCTCACCAGACTCCCTTGATCTTGGCTCTTGGTGTATGTAGAGGGGTGGCACCGTGACCAGCCTTAGCAGACAGTGGGCGCTGGAAGAGGAAAGTCAGTGCAATCTTAGATACAAGCTTCTGCTTGAAAAAGTCCCAATTAAGGTTTGGACATTTGCTAGTCTCGTAAGAGATTAACTTTCGCCAATGCAGAGATTTCGAAGAATTCAGCATCTGCCTTCTTGGGAAGCTGAAAATACACATTAGCACAGTTAGAGAGGAGAAAAGTCTTGCAAATAACAACCAAGCTTTAGATCACTGGAGGCAAGATGCAACTCGAGATTTGGAACACGCTTCACAACTACATGTGACTCCGAGCTGAACCTTCCCTCTCAAACTGAGTAGATCATCTTATATACTAGTAGCTTTCAAGTTTATTGGTTTCTTTGAGCTCTTCTAGTTGAATTCATCTTAACCGATGTAAACTTTGATAAAACTGAGATGCAATTTGTGGAATGTTTTTGTCCCTGTGATATGACTGGACAGCTACCACCAGCTGAGTTTGAGCTGAGCTTTCATTGGCAGCAGCTTGCAAACTGTATGAACTAATAAAATAGGCTTGCTTAAACCTTCTGCAAGCAAACCTGTTCTTGATGTGACTACCAGGTAACGTTCATTGATTTCCTTAGATAGTATCTGAAAGGAACTGCTGCGTTTCTGACTCTGCTGTTTAGCCATCTGTGCAGGTTGCCAATCTGCTGGCCCTTCCCGTTTGCCAGCATTCTTTTATCGGGGTGCCTCAGAAGCCCTTTCCTCCTGCTGGTAAAGCACTCTTAAAAGGCTTACATTTAAAGCTGTAGCAATCTAGAGACACTCTTCTCCAATGCCTTATCACCTATTTCCTTCTAGGTCTCAATCTTTCCATTATGTTTATTCCAAAAAATGAAACTAGAGAGTCATTACATTGGCTGTCCCATCACTGACAGGTATGAAAAATGTGAATAGTGTGAGATGCCTTCCAGACTGGAGGTTTAAGGAAGTGTGATGGAGAAGCCACTTGTGCCAAGTCTTTCCTTTCTATTTTTTATCTCTTTCAGAAATTGCTGTCATGAGGCTTGTTTGTAGGTTTACCTTTTTTGTTGCTTTATTTGCTTTGAAATAAGATATACAGGAAGGTAGTTCTACCCACAGGTACTGGGCAGCTCCAAAAATGATTCATACTGGGTCTGCTGAATGGCTGGAAAAAGACCCATTTTATCTGCAATATCTATCCAACCATTGCTGGCATCTCTGTGACCTCCTGCTCCCCCTCGATACCAGCTGTTGGGAGTTTGTATTCCTGGGATTAGGAGGGAGTCAGTAATATTCCTGTTCAAATAAGGTATGTGTATTAGAAGCTTGAAGACAAAATTTAGGAAGTGTGCCTGTCATCCTGAAAACCTAACTTGGGTCATTTAAAAACCTTAAGTCTGTAATTTAGATGTTTGTATCCAGGTATTCTGCTCCTAAACAGCAGCACAACTATATTGGTATATGAGTAAATGTAATGACTTTAAGAGAAATGCTTCTCATGTTGCCGTGACCCTAGGAGAGTAGTTGGTTGTAAATATAGTAAGCCAATATTAGGGAGACTATCTGCCAAAATACCAGTTAACCTCTAGCAGGAGAGTAAGTATAAGATGTGACTAATGGGCTTGGTGACTTGTGTGACCTGTAGTTTCCTGAAACTCCATTTAAAGCAAATGAGAAATTTGCAGGCTGAACCACGCGCATCCAGTCTCTTGTTTTTGTAAGAACTGAGCAGTTTGCTGAATTGCAGTGTTCAGTGTAGCAAATAGAGGTGTAGTACTCTGTTGTTCAAAATGGATGGTGTTTATGCAGCAAAACTTAGCTAATGCTACATGTAGGCAGTTCACCCTGTAATGAAATCTGTGACAATTTGTAGAAAGTTAATAATCTCTGTTTATCTTTCTTCCCAGTAACTAAATATTTTAAAGCAACAAATACTGTAACAGTAGCTTCTGCACCTATTATTAGTTTCTACTGCTTTAAAATAATACAAAATTATAAATAAATATAAAATTCTCCTTCTGGATTTGGGAGGGAGAAAGGAAAGAGGTTGAAAAAGCTTTCTTGGATTACCGCCTTGACCTATTATGTATCTTATCTTGAATTTCAGGTCACAAGGACAGTGCTTCAAAACTCTTCTACAACTTTAGTGTAGGAAGAGGATTGTTAAGAGGTGGCTGTTAATGGTTTCCTCATGTATGTTTGATTTGTGTGTTTAAGGTTCAGACAGTGAAGAGGATGAAGATATCAAACTTACAGTCAAGAAGAGCTTAGAAGAAACAAAGAAACAGCAAGGTGGGTGTTAGTTTTCACTTCTGTTTTCAAGTTCTAGTAATACGGAAGGTAAAGAGATTAAGTGTAGATAATTCTCATGGTAAAAGACCATGAAATCTTGGGCGTACTCTGGAATATTCCAAGTATTTCACTAGGCAGTTGAGAACATGTGATGAGTTGAAAAAAAAAAAATAGCTAGCCTGAGAAGTATGCCAGCAGACTCAAAGTCTATTTTTATTGCTGCACCACATAATATTGTGAGATTAAGGCTTCGACTGAGCTCACTTTGTAACAGCTTAATCTGGCTCTGGCTCCTGCAGAACTTCTGTGATTGAACTCCTGCATAATAGTTGAGATGTATGTATTATATCTCACCAGGGGACTCTGGTCTGCCAAGGGGAAGCTGGAGATTGGTGCTCAAGTTCGAAGCAGCAGCACAGCTTGCTGTTCACGTGCTCACATCATAGTTTACCTTATTTGAAATTGCGGTCATCCTTTTGCTGTTGTGCTTCTAGTGGTGCTGTTCAGCCCGTGTAGTCATTTATTTCTAGAGACAGACTGATGGCCTTTTAAAAACAATGTACTGTTTAAAGGCTTGGCTGTCCCCTCCCATGTGATGGAAATAAAAAGAACTAAAGCATCATTAGACACTTTGTGCCAGTGATAAAGCTAAGATAACTAAATGTTATGTTCCCAGAGTTTATTCAGTTAGCCCTACGATCCATTACTGCATGTTACTGTGCAAGCTGCCCTGTGTTCGTGCAGGGTGTTAGTGACAGCAGCAGTGTTTGGCCTGTGTGAGAGGTGGCAACTTGAGGCCTGCGCTGGGACCCTGGCAGGAGTGAGAGGCAGCGAGAAGGCAAAATAACCCCAGGGAGGAAGGGCCCTGGCAGCTGCTCGAAGAGGAGAAAGCCCAAGAGGGCAAGGAGCCAGGACCAGCTGAAGTTTTCCTCTTAGAGACTCCTTTTAAAGCATTTGCTTCTGCTCCTGCAGATACCGAAGATGCAGAGATGGAGGAAGCTATCCAGAGGAGCCTGGAGGAAATGTAGGCGAGGATACCTGTGTGCACTAACTGCATGTCATCAGAGCTGCCTGCAAAAACAGAAGCTTGCTCACCAATTTACAAAAGTTCAGAAATGCTGCTTTGAAAAATGTTTGTCTTGAATTGTTATAATCTGAAGATCTCTGTCATGCTGATGAGGAGCTGGGGCTTATAGATATATGTTGCAATATACTGTATACGATAAAAATAAATTTTTAAGTCTTTGCAAACTCTGTTTCTAACGAGCAACAACTAAGTCTCTCCAGTCTAGCTGTATAAGTTGTTGCCTGAAAAGTAGGCTGGTCTTACAATGTATTTTTTTATTGGTTCTTGTATTTAATTCTTCTGTCATAAAAGGTTATTCTCTTTTTCTTAAACCTTTTTGTGTGGCCTTTCTGATAGAGAAAACCAGTGAACATGGATGATCTTAGACTGACTTGCCTATCTAATCTTGTTATAAAGAGGTTAGGTCCCAGTTTTGCAAATTTAATATGTGGTCTGAATCTTGTCGCTGATGGGATCTCACCTCATATACCCCAGGTTTCTGTGGCCTGTTTGTTACAGATGGCAGAATCAGGACTTCAGACTATATGGTTGGTTTCTGCTAGCTTTCTTTTTATAAATGTGTATATTTTTTAATAAGAGTGTGATACTGTTGTAGTAGATATCTTAAAGTTTGGCAGGTTCAGTCTCTCTCCCTAATCTAGGGCTGGAACAACTTTATCAGCGAACAGAAGACAAATAAACTTCCAATTTCCTCTTTGAAACAGATGTGAAAGAATTTGAGCTGCATCATTCCTCTGTTGGCTTTTTATTGCCTCTGTTCATAGTCGGGTGGCCTTGAATACCTGACTGTAGTCATGTTAAACATTTTTGTACTCTCCTTATTTTCAGGTAAATGATTTTTTGTGTGTGTATGTGTGTTTCAACTTGTCACCTGTGTCACCTTTCTTAGTTCCTTCTTTAAAAATAACTATGCAAGCTGTCCAGCTTTACCAGCTTATTTAACTTTTGTTGACAGTTGTTAATCACTAAGAAATCTCCATGTAATAAAATGTTATTTGATTTTTGTAATCATTAGCATGTGATTTTGCTTGTGATTGCTGTAAATATAAATTACATTATGCAAAAAAAAAAAGTTAATTCTAGGGGAATAAGACAAAAAGAAAGCTAAATTTTAATGACTCTCAGTATGAAAGAGTCAAAATAACCACAGGTGTGTTTCACTATGGTTAAATATTGGAAAATTGACACTGATTTGTTTCAGATTATGATTGACCTGCATTTGCCCAACAAAATTGATGAAGAATCTAGTGTGTTAGCTTAGAGCTGCTTGGTAGTCACACAACTTGCAAGAAGAAACTGCCAATAGAAAATAGTTTGAACATTTCCTGTGTATTTAAAAAAAAAAAAAAAAAAAGGCAGTTCTGAAGCGAAGTATTACAGAATAAAGCGGACTTCACCCTCCACTTTCCATTGTCTCTGCTGCCTGCTTTCCCAGGACGAATCTCCCCTGAGTGATGTTCGGCTGTGTCTGGGCAGTGCTGCATGCCTGGCTGCTGAGGAAGCACCGTGTTAGAAGTCTGAGTTGCCTTTAGCTGATGATACTTCAGCTGAATCAGTTGCAGAATTCCTCTCACTGACTAAATGTGTCCCCCTAATGAAGGATGAGATAGGACAGAGGAGAATTTTCATCCCCACAAAGACTGTAAGTTGTGGCTTTTGGGGCAGTTTTTTTGTTCTGGTTTGTTTCTTCTTCCTCCCAAGCACAAAAGGTTCATATTCCTTTCATATAAAAGCTTTGTGCTTGATGAGTCATTGCTTAATCGGTTGCATTAGGAAACCAAAAAGTATGGAAATGTATCATGTGTTGTCCTCTTCATCAGCTTCCCCAAGGGAGTGGCAAATCCTGAACTCTGCCTCTATGGCTTTTGTAGAGCAGCTAAAGAGAGTTCTAGTCTCTGCATCACTTTTATGTTCAAAGTATTCTCTAGAATTATCAATGTCTTGAAACTTCTTCTGACTTTCTTGCTTTCTCTGAGGTTCTCGCAATCTGGAGTGTTTCTTTCCAAAGTTCCCAATGGTGCCTCTGTTTCCAGAAGAACAGAGAAAGTTCTTAATATTATATGTAGAGGCATGTGACATGTTTGACACTATCATGTCATGGCATTGCATCTGATTCTTCACCTGTAAAAGGTGCCTTGTAAATGCTGTTTCTGAATTTAATGTTTCCAGCTGGGGGAGTCTTGCTTAACTGGCTCAAATTTTTGAGGTTTGCCATGTGCCTTCTGAAATGTGTCTGCGTTTATAAACAACTCACTTGTTAAAGGAGCCTTGTCCAGCATCAGCTGAACCTAAGTCATTTGTCTTGTCCTTTTTTTAAGATTACTTGCTTCTGAGGTCGTGATTGAATTCACCCCTAGTTACTCCAGATTCATTACTTGGTACTTTTTCACATTCATCTTTAAAGAATAATGTTCTCTATTTCTACCTGACTACCACCACTTTTTCTTTCATTTTAATGTTCTAGTTTTCTGTACAGTGCACGCAGAAGTTCTGTAAAACTTCAGAGATGAAGTCAAAATTGTTTCAGGGTTCCTGTCCTTGTTGCTTAATCATGATCATGTTCAAGGAGGAGATGAGAAGCCAAATAAATCAGCATAACAGAGAAGTCACTTGGCACTAAAACTTCATCCCAGCCTGGTTGCTTTTGAAGTGCTTAAAAAGAGTTTTAGTTTTGTTTTTATGTGGTATTTTGGGGGGATTAGGTTAGTTTATTGTAAACAACTTGCTTTGTTTAATAGTGATATGTATTTGATGATGGTTTAATTTTCTTCGCTCTCAAAATGTACAGGAACGGCTGCCCATCTACCTATCGTGGTCACATTATTGGAGTTTTAAGACACTCAGCAGCAGGTCAGTCTGGTAAATATTACGTAACATGTGAAACTTTACTCAATCTTTACCAAATATGGTCAAGTTTATAGAGGTATGAAGTGACGCCATTTTTTTCGTAAAAGGAAAGTGTTCTGTCGTCTGCTTGTGTTGTCCTAGCAATGTTTATAATGACTGCTGTAAGTTGGGAGGAGGTGAGAAGGGTGGGTGACAAATTGTTTTAAAATTCATTTAGCAAACTTGGCTGACTTTAACACCGAGATCCTTTCTGGCAATTCTTTCTAGTTGAGAAGCAAGATGTAAATGCAGGCTGTTAAACGCTGTATTTGTGTAGTTCTCTGACAGTTCAAAACTGCCCCAAAATCTTCTGAAGAATTTTTATTTCAAGAGTTACAGCTCAGTTGTAACATTTTGGGCCCAATAATCTGGTCCAACATAATGTGAATGCACACATAAACAAATCAGAAAATGTGTGGTAAATGGCAGGTATGTGCAAAGCTTGTGCTTGAAGCACTGTGTGTGTAGGTGTAAATGTAAGGTGCCCCTTGTAACCCTGTGGATGTTTCTTTTCGCTGACTCCAGTATCCCACTTTCTGGGAGTCCTCCAGTGGTTTTTGCAGCGAGCTCTATCTGAAACCTGCCCAGCACCTACAGCTGTAAAGAATTTACTGCCTTGTTTGCTAAGCAGTTTTCCTCTCAGTGAGGATAAACTGCTCCATGCCCTTAAACAGGCTGGCTTTCTGATTCTCTGTGCAATAGAAACCGAACCTCACGCTGGCCCCTCTTCTGCCGAGTGCCAGCCCTGCTCAACTGGCCCGCGCTGCCGCTGTGTCCTTGGGGTATGCATGGGACAGGCTGCGTTTCCTAACAGGACATGGAGGGGAGGAAGGAAGGGAGGAAAGAAGGAAGAAAGGAAGGAAGGAAGGGTCTGGCCTGGCATTTCTTGGGCAGGAACTTGCCTTTGATCCAGTCCCATGGCAGCTCCTATGCAATTGGCAGTGACAAGGTGTATATCGGAGTCTGGAAAAAGGTGAGACTGGAACTAAGGGGGCATTTAGCAGCGTGACCATTAGTACAGCTTTTGGTGCCTGTCATCTCACTGTGTTTGTCTAAAGCTCTTTGCTCCCCTGTGGAGGTAGATCTCTTGCATGCGCATGGGAATCCCTGCGCTGCCGGGTGCATTCGCTGTGATGCTGTTATTAAAAACCAGAAGAGAGGGATGCGGCAGCAGCTGTCTCACAACACCCCCTTTCTTTGCTATGAGGATGAGGATGAGATCCATGTCCTGTTTCAGATGGGGCTGCCCTTCCTTCCCCCAGCTCCTTGCAGCCCTGGAGCACCTAATTCCTGCCTCTGTGCTCCCTGTTCCTTGCCCCAGTGCAACTGTGGGTCGCGGCCCTTCTCCAGAGAGCTGACTGCCCCCTTGCTAGCCCAGGCACCTGTTATTTTGGGAAAGTGGTGACAACTGCTCCTTTCTGTATCTCAGCAAGCAATAAAACACCCGATGGAAAATGGGGGCAATCTACCCCCGTTGGGTAGGAGAATCAGCTTCTGCAGCCCCTCCAAATTGCTAAATGGCAAAATATTCTAGGCTGCACAGGCAGCAACCATAAGGTTTGTTTCCAAAAACTTTTCTGCTTTTGAAATGCATTTTGCTTGCACTGCTTCTGCTGTTTTCAGTTGGTGGGTGAAATACTGTTTGTCCATCAAAAAGGACCCATGTGATGCAGTCGCACACAGCTCGCAGTGCTGGGCCCACGTGTCACCGTACATCCCAGTTGCAGAGATTTCAGCTCTTGTGCAGGGCAGAAGATCCTCATTTGGCTAGTAGCAATTCTCACTGTTGCTTTTTAAACACAACCTTAGTAATACTTAATAAATTAGCATGGAAGGAATAGAAGGATCTTGGGGGAATTGTTTGCAAATTGTATAACATTATTGCTCAGGTTTCTGTTTGTATATGTTTGGGGGTAGAAGTGTTTTTTAAATCACTTTCTATGTAGGCTGCAGTGAGATGGATAGGACAACTGTTGAACAACAAAATTATTTCTCTGAGCAGACCACAGCCCTTCCTTACCCAGCCATATAAAAATAAAAAAAAAATCAGGCAAT